GCAAATGTATGAATAAGTGAAAGCAGATATTGCTAACACATGAACGACCAGGCTACATGAAGAGAACAGCACATACAGAGCTCTTCTGCATTTATAAAACAAGAAAACAAAAAAAAACCAAGTATTTGAAGATAATAAATTGTAAAGCACAGAGTCTTCAGGGAACTTTGGTCCAACCTCTTTGGTCTAGCTTCTTTCTTAGGACGAAACAGACCTCTTTGGCATCCAGTCCCAATGTAATTCCAGATTTTCTTGCCACTGAAGACAGCCAATGGGCAATGTCCTTGGGCACTGTGCCAACAGCTTTCTTGCAGGACGTTCCTATATAACTTCAGATATAGAACTTAAAATTTTAGCCGAACAGGAACTGTTCCTACCACTTGTCTACAAGGCAGAATAAGTAGTAAATGAATCAGATATAGAGTATCTTCTGTTGCAACTCAGCTACTGAATTGATAGGTAATATCAAATCATTGGAACGCTGTGCAGGACGAGGAACACCCAGGACGCGTGCATCTTGGTCTAAGCTGTGTTACTGAGTCTCTATGCAACTTGTGAAAAGTAATTTGGATCCTCAGTGTCTTAGATTTATCTTTAAAATGGGCGTAACTCCTATTTTATCTCACAGGAATAGCCTCAGGCTTTAGCAACCCTTGCAGAACCTCACAGGGAGAAAATATGTGTATAAAAACTCTCAGAAATACCAGAAATTCTTCTATAAACCAAGTGCACTGGCTGCCCCTGCAAAAAGTCAGTCTCACGATTATAGTAGTAGTGAGCAAAACCAGCAGACTTTCAAGCTGATGAGGCTAAAAAGCAATTCGGCGTAAGCAGGGAGGGCAGGCACCCAGAGCAGAGCGACAGCTCCATCAACACAACAGGAAACTGCGATTCCTTCTGTAAACACCAGCGGTGAGGTGGGAGGAAGCCCAACTTCTGCACAAACAGGCAGACTGGAGCCCCGGGCCGGAGGAACGCAGCCCGGCGAGGAGGAACACGCTGTTCCCGGAGCAGCATTGCCATATTAATACAATGCCGAGCCTGGACTCATCGGAGGAGATGACAAATGAATTGCAACTCAGCAGCCCTCTGACAAAGATGCACGGCTCCGGGTGGCCACGCCAGCAACGCTCCCTGCCCTGGCAACGGCCTGCATGGGTGCACCGGTCTGGTCGGAGGATGAGGAGGGAAGGCAGGGTGCAGGCAGATGCTCAGACGCACAAAAAAAAGGTGAAGAGCAATTCAGGACAAGGGCGAAGAGTGCTGAGCTCGAAAACATCATTAACGTAGTCCTGTCTGAACTGGAAACATTAAGAAATGTAAGTCAGGTAGTTATGGAAAAGAGTCTGCCTGATTTCCTGCAGACAGATGAAAAGAATATTTCAGTCAACAGGTTAAAGCAGACGTGGTATTCTCTTCTCTGCAGAAGGCTGAAAATATAACAGATGAGTCAGGAATAATTTCTCCTCTCCTTTTTCCAGCCCCGCTCAGTTTACGTCCCTTCCAACTCAGGTCATCACCCTGCTCTACCTCCCAGCTCCACTCATCATTGCAGGCAGAGAACCAGCAAAACATCCCCTAAACGCCTATTAGGTAACAACGACGTGGTAATTCCTATATCCCACGTCTAACCAACCACTGTCTGATCTTGAAAATTCCTCTTAACATTACAAAAACATTAAGATCTCATTTTTAGTATGTGAGAAACTTTCACACTGAATCTTTAGAAGAAATCCCTGCTTAAGAGAGACTTAGTTTCAACTTCCAGGAACCCTGGTATGAGGACATCAGGGAATAAAAACAAGTTCTTGTTTTCATGCTTTTCAAACACTTTTTTCTCTAACGAGAAAGCTAAAAAAAGCCTCTTGAGATGCAAACCTAAAAAAAGCCTCCTCAGATGCTGCTTCTCTGTAGCGGGAGAAGGCATTGATTTCACCGCTTTGCTGTGGCAGGACCTACAGTGACACAGAGATGATACACGGAAGGATCAGATCTCTAGAAGAAACCTCAAAACAGTAATAAAACACACCCCCCTCCTACTCCGGGGCTTCCTAATTGTACAATACATAAATCCTGCATAACTATATTGCAAAAGCCACAATATCTACATGTTGAACAAATCCCTCAGCCTCTGGCAGTATTTTCTACACGTCTTAAGAATCACTCTAAGAGCACCCAGATTTGTTTTAATGTAGACATCAGAAACCCATGAGGGTTTGGGAAATGAACACGGAGTAAGGCAGATGGTACTTCTGCCATCCGATTTTAAGCATTACGGAAAGGAGGTGGCACTGCCACTGGTGAGACAGCCACTGTCACACAGTGCCCTGCTCCACTGCACGTATCGGGTCTCCTCAGAGGTTAAAAGAAGAGCAGGTTTCTATTTCAGTCTCTCAAAGACGCATATTTTTACAACATTTAGAGTTCTAATTATTATATTCACTGCTCCTCTATCAACATTAATTATTTACATAGTGGCTTTTTTATCCGCACATCTGTTCTGCTTTATCTTATGGATCATCTGAATATTTTTCGTATTTTATTTATAAGGGGTTTCTGCTTGCCCACTTTTACTGTTTGAATAGAAAAGAAAAAAAGGGTTAGCCAAGCTTTACCTTTATAGACAGAGGTCTACATACAGATCTCTGATACAGAATGGGCAGACATGCCAAACAGTGCATATGTTGGTCTGGAAAAAGGAATGAATCATCCCTTTACCACCACAAATGTTGAAGTATGAGATTCCTGGAGGGTTGTGTTTATTTTGGGAGTGGGATGGTGGGAGGGGAGAGAGTTTGGGTTTCTCTTCCTTATTAGTGCTTGGTCCACTCGCTTCTTTCCTTCTCCAAAATGACTTTCTGCAGATGCAGATTGACAGATCATCGATGCTGTTTGCAGAATGAAGCCAAAGCTGCAGTCTGCAAGTTTAAGAAATAGAGTAATGGAAAAGCAAAGTAATGGAAAATGGAGCGGCAATGCTGGCAAGGGGCAGAAGAACGAGCAGGGACTCATAAAACCTCAGCGTGCTCTCAGCTCTGCTAGTGGCTGACCTGGAGCAAAGCTCTTTATCTTCCCCTGCCCCGGATTCACTATCTGTAAAATGGTGTAACGACATTGGCCTCTGGGAAAACATTGTGAGCTTCTCCTAATGCTTTGCTGTATAAACTGTTTCAAATTTTAGACCATTGGATAACTTCTATGCATGGTTACCGGATTTGATGTGCAATATTTTATCCGTCAGTTGTTTGTCAGGAAAAATATGCCCAAATCCAACTGCTATCAGAAACATGAAATGTTTTTTTTTAATTTAGCGAGCTCCATCTCATCAATATTTCTGGTAACAAGGCTGTAAAACTGGATATAGGAATGATTCACTGCATATCCATCTTTCCCATCTCACCAAAAAGGCAGCTTTACAAGAGCAGGGAAATGGAAAGACTGAGAAACCCCAATAGAATTTGATGGGAAAAAATGACGGACGCAAGAACAAGGTTTGGTTAACTAGTAACACAGAAACTTGTAATGGGGAGCCTATGGCACAGCTATGCCATGACACTCAGCACGGCCCCAGCACTGGTGCCATTAACACGCCGCTGCTTGCACCGACAGGACCAGCTACCGTCCCGGCGCCAGCCCGCAGAGTTAGCGTGCAACGGAGGCTAATGGATCTACTCACACGTTACACACACGTATGTATTTTTTGCAGTGCGTGTGCACACACGCGCACAATTTTGTCTCCAGAAACAAGCTCCTGGCAGAACACTTGCAACAAATCACACAACCCAGCTGGCTTCCAGCCTTGCGCTTCATCTTATCAGCACACCGGGATATCTGCTATTAACCCAGAAATTCAAGAGCTATTCTGTCTGGCTGCCTAATTCATCTCCAGTCGCTAAAATAGGGTAGCCAAGATCTTCTAATTCACTAAACTGTAAAATAAAATAACTAGTCACCTGTGTCCTGTGTTGCAAGTTTAAGATATTGTAAGTCTCCTGCTACTTACAGATATGAGGTCAAGATCATCAGTTCGTATAAGACCAACACATTATTTTATAGCCCTTCAATATAGGGGAGTTGAGACTTATTTTTTAGTTACAGTCTTCTCTTTGAGGCAGGCGAACCAATCTGGAAATCACAATGACCTGTATCCAGAAGGCAAAATAAAGCCTTTCTTTTTTTCTACATCCTGAACACACCCTCCAAAATAATACTAGATATTCACTTGGGCCCAGTTACAAACGCCGTGGGACTTACTGCCAAGTCCAGCCAGGGATCCTAGAGGCCCCAGCAGTTTATGGGAGTGAGGAATGACTTTATTTACAACAAAAGTTAAGTTCCACAGTACCCCAGTTTCTATTTCTAACATTGCTTTCTTTCACTCCAAGCACACGTAAATTCACAGTTGAAAAATATTTTCCAGCTTCTCCTATTTCTTGGACGGCAGAGTCTTTCCTTTAACTGCTCAGGATACGCTGCCTCCATCACATCCAAACTCTACTTAATAAGATTCCTGCTTTAAGTATTCCTGTCCAGTCCACAGGTACCTTTAAATTTCAAAGCCCAGAAGATGAAAGGATTGAATCTTTCCTTGTTCCAAATCTGTATTTACCGACTTGACTGTTTGAAGTCTAGAGACTACAGAATTACCGCCGGCTCCCCGGGAAGGAAATCTAGATGTGGAGAGGGGAAAAGGTGAGCTTCTTCAGACAAACCACTTCTTACAGTTCCCTCCTCTCAGAGCTGAATACTTGGCTTTGGAAAAACTTTTTAATCCCACACTTGGGAATTGGTTCTCTTCTGGAAATATGTTGCTATTTATTTCCATTGCCTTCAGCTGCCTCTTCCCTCCCTCCCCTTCTCCTGCTGCTGCAAAAGAGACCAAGGAAAGTCAGAAGATAATGACTTTCAGACCACCCAAACACAGCAGCTGAGGGAGATGAAGGCAGCTAAAAAAATTAACGGCAGTGGAGCGCTCCTTTGTGCGGCCAGTTCCTCAACACCTGGTCCTCCCAGGTCCTTTTTAACCAACTCGACACGTGCCAAGTAACCTGCGAAGGTCTCCCAACGTTTCTTCAGCGCGCTAACCGCCATGTGCCTGTTGTTATCTCTTGGGAAACAGCTGAAAGCCTAGGTCGTAACAACAATATCGACTTTCCTCTTGATAAATATCTGGCTTAGTTCCTGACCTTCCCAGATTTCTCAGCTGACTTTCTCTTCCTGCCCTGATTATTTATTCCTGAAAGGCTCAGCACTGCCAGCCCCTCAGCCCTGTCCGTACTACAGGCAAAAGAATTCAGGCAGGTCCATCTACTGCTCTTTCCCATCCTCTGCTCATGGATCTCATTCATACGCTGTTTTTAAAGGACTCAATTTATGACAAATGGTTTATTGACCGCAGAGGTCCTTTTCTTGTGCCAGATAATTACACAGAGTCACTTGGATGCAGTTTCGCCCGATGCATTTCAAAATACAAAGTCAGCCACTTTGCAGGAAACTGAGTTTGAGTGATGGATTTTTTTCCTCCCCCCCCCCAGGTCTCTGGAGCCATGAAATGATAACGTGATGAAGAGAAACAGCAAAGCCTGGATCTGCTAGCAATACACACCTTTCTAGAACTGAGAGTTACCCCTAAACTCCCCTCCGCCTTCCCCCAAAGCAAGACCTGTTTAATCTAAACCAGAAGAGCTCACATCGAACTCCAGATATGACATCATGGTGTGCGCACGCCGGTGACAGAGAACTGTGAGCCGCCAGTGAGAGATGCTAGCGTGCCGAGGGCTGCTGAGGTTACTGGGACACCACATTAGACATAGTAAGCCTAGTCAAAATATGAAAACTTAAAAATCTGGTTCAAAAGGGGGCAGAGGAAAGTTAGGAACTGAGAGCAACCATGAGGAACTTTCTTTTTCTTACTCTGGTGAAAGGACAAATCCCGGCTAGTTTGTATTTTACAGTGTGAAGACCACAACACGGAGGGAAGGGCACGCTGCCCTAAAACGCCTGCCAGCATTTGCTGGGAGAAGCGAGGAGGGGAAGGAAGACTGGTTTAAGTTGTGTGTTGAACATCCCAAGCCATCCTCCCTTGGTCAGCAGGAGAGATTTAAGAGCACCAAAAACATATTTGCAGAAGAAAAAGAAAACATCCTCCCAGCACGTTGAACCTCATCACACAGAACGCTGAGGTCTCGTCGCACTGACCTCACTCCACGGCGTGGGATGGTCTTCTTTATACAGCCACGGTTTCTGCTCAGAGGACCTTCACCTTCTTTCTGCCCCTTTGTATTTTCATCGGTACCAACCCGCACCGCACCGGCACGTGCTTTGCAGGCCTGAACGCCCTCTACAACATCTCTCGTGTCCTTTGTGGCAAGTGAAGGTTTCTTTTGTGAAAGCTGCAGCTCAGCAGCCCTGCCCAGGCTGGTGCAGAAGTGACTTGCTGGTGCTGCAAGCGCTCCTCTGCCAGCGGTTTCGATATGAAAAGCAGGGCTCCATCATCTGCCGGAGGCAGAGGGAAGCTGTGCCCAGGGCGCCCTGGGAGGCTTCCCACCGCCGGCAGGACGGGTACCGCCGGTTACACTGCTGGAAAGGGCGCACCGCCCCAGACAGGGACACAGCAGTAATGAAAGGGGTCTGTCCGCCACCACAGCGTGTCACCCTGCTCATCACCTGCCTCCGCCTGACTTTAACAGAGGTGAGCCCAGGCAGGGCAGGCTTCAGCCCTGCTCCCATCCCGTGCGCTCACCCGTACTAGGTTAACCGATGCATGTCTTGGCTAAAAGCCACAGCCGGGCTTTCCTCCCTCTCCTCGCCGCTCCTGGGGTTTCTCCAGATAGAGCCTGCTTTGCCCTTTCTGCGTGTCTGGCTCTGCGGGCTGATCCTGCACCCCGGAGCACATCACCGTGGTGCAGGAGACCTGCTCAGCACCCTGGTGCCACAGGGCTGCACCCTGCCACCACCCGTCCCGGTGTTCAGGGCCGAGGCTAGAGTCAGCTCCGAGGCCTGTGAAATTTTTCCTGAGGTTTTTTTAAGATTCACGATTCCCGTTTTGCGGAGGAAAGGATCCCCCTTCTGCACACAGACCAGAGCAACCCGCCCCGCCTCTCCCGCAGCCTCTCATAGACATGCCCTGTATTTGAACAGAGGCACTGAGCATCACTGAAGGACAAAAGCAGCGCCGGGAGTGGACTGTAGTAGATGAAAATTGAAAAAGACAAAAAGTTTTACTTTATTTTATGCAATATACACAATATTGTACTTGACCGGCTACTACAGTGACGCGAAACTTAAAAACAACAAAAAAAGTGCTTTCCAAACACTACATCCCCATTCCCTCGTTTCCCTGGGCCATTGCACTGTATTCACCAAATTATTTATATAGGTACGTTACTGTGAAAGCGTAAAAATATTTCACCAAAGATAACTCCACCTCTAGGTGGAAAAAGCGCTCCTGAAAACGAACTCAAAATAAAATTAAAAATTAACAGCTCTAAGGAGTCACATATTAGGCAATGGCTTTTCAAGCCAGTGGTTCGATCTGCCTCCAGGGAAGAGCGCTTTGCAGCCTACTCCCCATTTCTTTTTATTTTAGGTTCTTTACATATGAAAAAAGCTTTGCTTGCAGCAACGCTTGCTCTGGACTAGGGATAAACATGTGGCCCTGGTCAGCTTCTCTAGCCCCTTCCTTTTGTCCCCAGTGATAGAGAAAACAAGCATCGCTCCGACCAGAGATGCAACAGGGCAAAATGATTGTCTGGGCGTACGCATGACCTGTCTCCTGCAGTTATTTTCCTATACGAGGTCTATATGCAGCCTATGCATTTTCTATACGACCTACCGGAGACACGTATTACTCTCCAGCTCAAACACAGCCCGAATTCTGCAAACATTCAGCAGAAAAGACCGAGAAAACAATATTGGTTTCACGAACCGAGAACAAAAATCACAAGGCATTATATTATACTGGAGATCAGGAAACAGCAGCGTGAAAGCGTTAATTGTCTCCAGTGTCCGTAAATGCCAGCAATGTTCCCCAGAGCACAACGCAGCTTTGAAACCGAGGGGAAAACCAGTGGTACAAAAAATTGATTGTATTGATACCAAACTTGTAAGTTTGATCTGTAATGCAGGATCAGTGTTTTGCCCAAGCTGAGCATATAGTCACTATACATCGGAATATTCTTCTGCTGGAGAGGTGATGGCTAAATCTAGAAAAAGATTTGTTTTTCAAGAAAGAAGTGCCGAAATGGTATGAGCTGTTCCAAAAGAATCAATCCTCAGTGAAACAGCACTGACTTGCTAAAAGGGGACTCCTGCTTCAGCAATAAAGGCTTAATTCATGCTGGTTTTTACATATTACCCCCTAAACGTGCTGGATGCCTTGGAAGGAATACGCAGCCTTAGCTTACAAGGTTTAAGCCAGCCGGTATTAGGGGTTGCATCTCATAAAGATCATCCCATGCTTATCCCCAGCACGGTTTTGCCTCGCTGTGTCCCATCCTGCACCCATCGTTCCTGCAAGGCTGAGGACTTCTCCAGGTGCTTCAGGCCCGCAGCCCCGTCTGCGGAGCCGCAGTTCCCTAACCCAGCCGTGGGTCTTTACATGGTTTACAAATAATTAGCATCCATCCTGCAGCTCCGAGTACTCAAGTTACATCCAACTAAAATAACAACTAAATAATAATAATGCTGAAGGAAATATATTGTTACTTCTCGACGGCCACTCCCATCTCCCCCCCCCAAAAAAACCCCAAACCCGAATCAACCAAACCCTAAAGCCAGCTTAACACGATGTTTAGTTACAAGCATCCCCCTCTCTAGCAGATCTATTATTAATAATCAGAGCAGATCTGCCGAAAGGGGCAAAGGCAGCCAGCTGCCTGCTCTGCCCACACCGACACGCCGCACTCATCCGCTGCGAACGGATTTTAACAGCTCCTACATTCTTGGCTTTATTTTCCAGGGCATTTCGTTGTGACAAAGCGCCTGGACGGCAGCGCACTCAAGTATTTCTGCAAACTTTGTTGAAGCCGCACAGTGGGACTCGGGTCCCCTCATCCGCGCCGGCTTCTGGGGTTTTGCAACCAGTTTCCCCCAGTTTTGAGCCCGGCATCACTTCTCTCGGGGGAGGGAATGGGGAAGGAGGAGATGTTTGAAGTTGGATATAAGGATCTTCCCCCCCCCCCCTCCCCCCCCCCCACGCCCCACCGCACGA